TACTTTGAATGTATACCAAGGGGTATCAACTTACGTTGAAATTCTAATCTAAAACGTGAATTTCCGGTCTATTTTGTCAAGTGTCATTGATTGTTCATAGGTTATGATGGAATTTCGGCCTAATTGATTATGCCGTTATTCATACTTTGTTAAATATATTTGTTTTTGACAATCCCCATAGAGGACATTTCAGTGTTGGAACAATTGCACCTTTGACAAGGCTGACATTTTCGCGACCAGAGATACATTCAAGCACATGTCGCACAGCGAACACTTGTGGAAGATATTGTTAGCGTTAAAGCCATCCTTCAAAATAGACTCGATAGTCTGCATCATATGAAGCCACTAATTGTGTTTATCACACACAAGCACTTACAGCGAGTTCACATAGATTAGTAGAGAAGTGAACGTCATCGACACATACGTGGCAGATATCTCCAGGAATGAAATGATGTGCAATTCTTACCAATCAATAATATACTCTAACTGTCAAACGTCTTTCAAAACCTGTTAATCGGTAGTGCAGTTAATCATTTCTTATACAGACAATTATCAAAGTTGTATTAAAATAATTTTGGCTCTCGAACAATCCTTTGAACAACAATGACTGCCACTAACATATGTAAATATAAGAAATAAGCGTAAAAAAATGACTATCAGTCGAATGATTCTACATTATAATAATTTGCTATTGAAGATGGTCTCGGTTATGTAGATGAAATAATCAAGTTCTCAGGAATGCACGTATATTATTTTTGCAATATGATGATCCAATTTGGTCTAGTGTCATTTATTTCATGGAATTGCAAGTACGAGAAAAAAGGTTCTATTGGCAGAATGTCACTTAAAGTTAAATATTAAAGATAAATGGAACCTAATAGTAATTAACCAGACCTTTTGAGCTATTCAGATATGATAAATAAATTCTTTTATATATATCTATGAACGAAGCCAACAATGATTGAACAATTCAACAATTTGTCAGGTCATATATAACTACAGACAATAGACGACTTGTCAAAATCAACTGCATAGACCCTATTTGACTGTAACGAAACACGTTCATCATAACACTGATGTGAGCAGACTAAATGGAAAGACTAGGCTAACCACAAGATGTCAGTCTATCACACGGCTGAACCTTCAATTATCTTATAAGTAATCTGCAAGTCGTGATAACATTCCTCCTCAGTTTGTCAATCATTTACAATAATGACCCTCAGGTTTTACAGCATTTACTGTATAACTGCAACGAGCAAATATTTATCCTAGCCATGAGTCAAATCAATGTAAACATTTCAATCCAACATATCAATGATTGTTCTATCTCAATACTCCTTTCAGATCAAAGTTAAAAAGCCATCCGATATCTCATCCAAACCACAATCTAGTCACCCTTAAACTACATAAAATTGACAAACATGTTATTTGCTAATTCACACTTGATTCGTTCTTGTACAACCATATAAATTGTGAATGCAAACACGCTTCATAATTGAAATTCGACACTAGTAATCAAAGTCATATCAGACAAAACGCTTCTCATACGTTTAAACAACTCATAATACGATTCATTAGTTCCAGACACAGAATGGAAAATTTACGCGAAAATTCTCCATTTCTCTGACAGAAAAATCATCAACATTATCGTCAAAGAAATAATAATACTAATAGTAATATTGATATAAATAATAGCAACAATCATCATTATAATCAACGTCCAAAGCGTCATCAACATCATCATCAACCAAATCATGATTATCAACATCATCATAATCAACATCATCATCGTGATCATCCGGATCATCATCATCAATATCATTGTGTTGCATGTATTAAAATTAGCTCTATAACAATATGTTCCTTATCATTACATTTTCATGATTTACAACGTTGCCTCTTGTCTAACTATTTATCAGAATAAGAATGTTCTATTGGAACTATTAAACAGATGTTTATTGTCTCTGTTGTTTTCTTAAATTCAATTCAAATTTTTCATTCCATCTGTAATTATCATAAATCAAATTTATACCGTAATACAAGTACCATAGATTATGTAATAAAAGCAATATGTAATATGGTATTTTCTAAAAAAACAACTGATGCTTTTTACATTTCTATTCGTATGGGGATTTTGTAGAGATTGTAGTAAGTTGAATAGTTGAATTCATGTGTCGATATAAGCCAGATTATTATTATTGACAACCTGGGAACACTGGACAGCTGTTTCATTCTAGTAGAAAACATCTTAGAATCATGATCTTTCACTCAAAGCTCAAACCCATGACATTTTGTCTCGCACGTGAACACGTAACGCCTAAATCACTGAACCAGAATCCAAGTATTCTAATATTTAATTTCAATCGACCCATGAGGAGTACAATAATAGGATGAGACGGTAGACTAGTGCTTTCAGGCTTACAATATTGGCCTAGCTCAGATCGACTCATTGTTTCAACTATTAAATGAATATAATCTCCACAAAATCCTATTCTGATTATATTCATCATGTGATCACTAGTCTCTTGTTTCAAAATGAACTTCCTGAAGTTAATGTGAGAATCCATGGCCGGTGGATTTCAACCATGTCTGTTATGAGGCAGTTACTCACTGAAGACAACGGAGGACAGTCACGGAACATTGTGGATTGGTTGAAGTTACCCGATATTACCGTTGGATGCCGGATCAGTGGTCTAGAGGTTAGGCGTTCGTGTACAAAACTCAAGGTACTGGGTGTGAGTATGTTTGTTGTGGCACCGTGGATAAATACAGCTAAGGAGTTCCATACTGGGACGAAACGGACATCCAGTACCTCCAGGTTTTCCATGATAGTCTAGTTTCAATTGACTGATGATTTCAGCTATTCAAATAACATGGAATCATGAATTAAAAGAACGCCTATTGTAATAATTTTTTCAATTACATTATAACTTTTATCTCATCTTATTACTTATAATTTTCACATTATAAATTAGCAATCCTAAAATGAATTTCAATAGTTGAGATCATAAGTCAATTGTAACTAAACCAACGTGGAACTCTTCAGCAGTGCACATTCACGACCCCGTCTCATGAAATTCAAACCAAAGACCAATTAGTCTCGAGCGAGAGCACTTAACCATTAGACCATTGAAATTGCCATCATCCAACGGTGTTAATGACTAACTTCAACCAACCTACAACATTGAACGACAGATCCACCATTGTCAACAGTGAGTTTGTTTGTATACCTTTAAAAAAATACGGTTGTTCGATAATGCATCATTTATTGGGCATAAGATTATTGATATTGAATTTTATGGAAAAGATTATAAAATGGATTCAATTGGATTAATATAAGACTTTCAATAGAAAAGAATTTAACTTACGCTCTATTACTCCTGGTAAAGGAACAAAGACTGACCACCAGCAATCTTCATCCAAGAACTGAACTTACTTACTTCCTGTTACTCTTCATTATCATCAACTAAATGATCATCATCATCATCATTTAATAAATCGTAATCATCATCAACCAATTCATCATCGTCATCATCTAAATCAACATCATCATCATTCAAATCATGATCAACATCATCATCATCATCATCATCATTAAATCATCATCAACATTATCATCCAATGCATCTTCATCAATAATTTCTAATTCATCGTCAGATTCATTTAATTCATCATCGTCATCACCCAAAATATCATCATCATCCAAAACATCATTATCATCATCCAAGTCATCAACATCATCATCGTGATCGTCATGATCATCATCATCAGCAGTCAAATCCTCATAATAATATATTTCATCATCATCATCATAATCATCATCATCAACCAAGTCATCAAAATCTCCGTCATCCAAATCATCATCATCACCCGAATCAACATAACCAAAATCATCATCATCCGAATTATCATCATCTTCATCCAAATCATCTTCGACACATTTATCCAAATATTCATCATAGAAATCGTCGTCGTCAATAACATCATCATCATCATCATCCAAATGATCATCATCATTAAAATCATCATTTTTTAGCGAATCAATTTCCAAATCATCTCAATCATAAACATCATGTATATCGTACTCATCATCATCCGAAATATCGTACAAATCATCTTCATTATCTAAATCATCATCATCATTCTTATAGTCCAAATCATAATCAATAACCGAATCATCCTCCAAATCATCATTATCGTCATCATCCATACCATTATCATCATCATCATTCGAATAAACATCATCATCCAAATCATCTGCATCTTCAACATCAAATCATCATCATGATGACCATAATGATTATCATCAACATGCAAATCAAATTCATCATCTTCATCGATTGAATCATCATCATCAACAGCCAAATCATCATATTCATCCAAATCATCAGCCAAATGATCATCATTATTATCGTCATAGAAATCTTCATCATTCGAATGATCTTCGTCATCTTGAAGTTGAGCAAATTCATTCAAGTTATCATCATCATCGTCAACATTATCATCCAACTCCTCACCATCATACGTATCATCTTACAAAGCATCATCATCATCATGGTCATCCAAATCAACATGCAAATCATTGTCATCATTATCAAAATCATCATCATCCAAACCATCATTATCTTCATCTCAATCTTCATCCAAATCATCATCACCGATGCAAGCATAATATACATGACATTTCTACTACTAATACTAATACTACTCTTTAACATTACTTTAGGACAATTAGATTATATTGGGCATGAGACTAATGATATTGAATTCCATAGAATGGATTATAAAATGAATTCAATTGGATTAATATAAAACTTTCAATAGAAAAGAATTGAACTTAATTACGCTCTATTACTCCTGGTAAAGGAACAAAGACTGACCACCAGCAATCTCCATCCAATAATTGAACTTAATTACGTACTTCCTGTTACTCCTCGTGAAGGATCATAGGCTATCCATCAGCACTCTTTATTCAACAATTGAACGCACGACATTGAAATATGTTGTTCATACATAATTACATCCTGTTTATTTTATACATAATACCTTATGTATATTGTATTGGACGTGGTTTCTTCAAATTATCCTCCAATTCATATAATGAATGGAACCCTTCAACACAAAAATCTTCCTCTTCTTCTTCTTCATCATCATCATCAATAGGATCATCAATTTCCTTATTATCTTTACCATATTCAAGTGATACAAATTCATATGCATATTGGAATTGTCATACAATTCCACCAAATATGACATTACGTAAAAGTGTAGGTTATTCACGTATGGTATTACCAAATTTTTACATCATGAATCATTACGTGAAGCAATACAACAAGCTAATGTATGGATTGCATTAGTTAATACAGATTGTCATCCAGATATTCAACGATTTCTATGTTCATTATATGCACCAGTATGTTTAAAAAGTCATCAAGAAGCTAAAATACCACCATGTTGGGAATTATGTAATCAAGTACGTAATGCATGTTTACCTAGAATGAAATTATTTGGATTTGATTGGCCAGATATAGTACACTGTCAACAATTTCCACGTTTAGCTGAAAGTATGTGTATACCACCACAAGAAAAAAGTACGGGTAAGTAAAAGAGAATTTCTCAAGTTTCAAGCCGGAATTGCCTGCATTTCACAGTTGATGTTGACTTTAGAACCCTAACCTAAACAAATAATCAACGCAATAATCAAGTACAAATTCTTACATTTACGAGTATGGCTAATCACAATACATTAATGTTAAATTAGATTAGAATGGATAGAAATGAATCTGTCTAGATGATTGTATTACACCTACTTACTTACTTACCTGCTTACTTACTTATGCCTATTACTCTCAATGGAGTATAGGCCGCCGATCAGCATTCTTTAACCCACTCAGTCCTGTGCCTTCCCTCACAGTTCTATACGATTGTTGTTCATTCTTCTCATGTCTGTCTCCACTTCTCAGCGTAATGTGGCCTTTGGTCATCTTCTTCAACTGAATTATAATATCCACACAAATCATTATCTCTATTAGGGTTATTTGAATTTATACAATTTTATTGAATTTACATTCAATACTTAACTCTCTTCCTTATCAATTCATTCCTAGCAAACAAAACTTCCTAACTGAACTGAACAAACAGTGAATCAATCGATAAGATATGTCTACACTTTAATAAGTTCAATGGTTCAGATCATGGGTTAATTGAGGCTAGATCAGTATGAAAGACCTGAAAGCATAGGATGGTCATTTCTAGAGATAAAGTGTTTGTTCGCGAGACCAAAGTTCCTAGGTTGGAATCCCGTGAGCGAGGTCACGGATGCGCACTGATGAGGAGTTCCATACTAGGACGAAACCGTTGTCCAGTGATAGTGATCTAACAATGATCTATTCATGATCTTAATTAAAATAAATTTTAATAGAAAACCGAAGATTGATGATTCTGAAAAAATCAATATACGATAAGCATAATTATGAATCATTCTGCCAACTTCATGACGTTCTCAACTAATACTCAAAATATTAGCAGTTAGATTTTCAGTTTCTGAATAAGAATAACATCTATTTATAGGTATATGGGTATCATAAGTTAGTAGCTCAAACAATAACTTGATGGCATTTGAAACGAATGGTACTGGTTTGAGTCCTAGAGTAAACATCAACTCTGCGATGCCGGTACATCCGACTGACGAGTCTAAAATAGGATGTAACACATGTCCTAGATTTCACTACTAACCACTATATATATATATATATATATATATATATATATATATATATAACCTTCGAATCAAGCATTGAAGTCAAAATGTACATACAATGTCGTCGATAAGCTATTAGATAGATTCTGTTCTTTGTATAATCGACACATTACCACTTTATACAGTTGGTTCATGACGCAGGATCTGATTTCCATTATATCGTATGATTGATTGTAATAATATATATATATCGTCAATTCTTGTATAAATTGATTTAAGTCATAATGGAACATTCCCCCCCCGCTGGATGGATCAATGGGCAGAGTTAATATGAGGACAAAGCACCGACAAGAAAATACAATTTATGCATATCCATTGCCATTTCTGTGTTGGCTTCGATGAATGTGCTGCATTAAAGATTGAGCCATTTGAATCACCCGTCAATCAACTTGATCACTTAGTTCATCTACCGGAAAAGTAGAGTTCGAAATGTTCACCGTTTGAGCAGATTCTTAGGGTATATTTAAGTTTGAAGATGGGCTTTATTTTATTTATTTATTTGAACACATAAATATTGGTACAAGAGGGCACCAAATATATATGCGCCACACAGTTTCATTTGTGTGTAGGGTGTGATACTCTCCGGGTGCCCAGACCGGAGCAGGTGGTTTTCTTAGGGGGCCACAAACTGAGCCTTCGACCCAAAGATCTGATCCACAAAGCAGTGAGCATCGCAAGGAGATGCAGTGACATGGTAGCCGGTGACCAACTATCGGTTCATACTCCATTTGTTCCCTCCGGATACTGGAGCCCATGTGCACCATGAGTTTGAGATCCGGTTGAAGCGCCGGACACTGGCTGGGATTGCCATTTCAATGTCGCTAAACCCCAGCCAATGTTACGGATAAGTAACCATATCACCCTAGGTTGGATTGATCACAATTACTATAAATTTCTATGAAAAGTAATGTGAATTCATCTATGAAGTTTGTCATTGTTAAGAATATATTGCTTATTTATTTAAGCGATTCATTGAAGTGTTTTTGTGGTTTAAAAGTACTATCCGATCTTTAATAATAAATTTTTGGTTGTCCTTTATTACTTACTTACTTTCGTCTATAATCTCTTCTCAAAGAGGATAGGCCGCTCACTAGTATTCTTCATCCAACTCTGTTTTAAGCAATCCTTTTCATGTTTGCTTACAATTCTTGGTGTATTTTGTTCTGTGGTCTTTCTCTTTTGTTTCTCTTCAAGATTTCAAATTAAGGCTTGTCTTAAGATTCAGTTTGATGATCTCTGTGATGTATATTCTATCCATTTCTAATGTCTTTTTTGAAATTTCCTGTTTGACCGGAAGCTGGTTTATTCTATCTTACAATAGATAGTTGCTAATGGTGTCCGGTTAGCGAATATTGATATCCTGTGTAGACAACTATTGATAATTACTTGTATCTTTTGATGATGGTTGTAGCAGTTCTCGAAGTTTCATCTCTATAAATAAGAACTGTCTTGACGTTTGTGTTAAAGATTTTAACTTGTGTTTTGAGTTGCATATGTTATTCAACTGTAAGAAAGCGATCATTGCTTTGCTAATCCTCGCCTTTATGTCTACATCAAATCCTTCACGTTCATCGATGATGTCACCCAAATATGTGAATATTTCCACCATTTCCACAGTTTCTCCATCAAGTGTGATTTGATTGATGTTCTTCGTGTTGTAATTGATTCTATCTTCAAGAACCTATAATTATCTTGGCTCTTACAATTACACTGTTGGATGTCGACAATTTCAGTGATCTAGAGGTTAAGCTTTTGCGCGCTAGATAGATAAATCCTGGGTTCAGATATCGCGAATCGAGATCGTGGATGGACACTGTTAAAGAGTTCCATACTATGACGAAACAGCCGTCCAATGTTTTCAGGTTTCTAATGATGGTCTAGCTTACATAAACTCATGAATTCAACGAATAAATTCTCTCCAATTGATTTTAAACAAAATTTTAATCGACCCTTTCTCTCTCTCTCTCATTTTTCAGTTGTCATCAAATATGGTATTCAATGACAATAAGAATAAAAATGATTGATTTGATCTTCAAGAACCTATAATTATCTTGGTTTTTAAAATGTAGTAGTTGAATTCATGAGTTGATGTAAGTTAAACCATCATTGGCAACCTGAAAACATCAGACTGTTCTTTTGCCCTAGTATGGAACTCTTCAACAGTGAGTATTCACGTTTCTACACTAAAGGGACTCAAACCCGGTACCTTCAGTCACATGCATGAATGTTCAATATCAAGATCATTGCAACTGATCGATCAGTGTGTGGTGATCAATTTCATGCGTGTCTAGTCCCTTTTTGTGCACATCGAATGATATCAGTCTTGCAGGAGGTCGGTCGCAGCTCGGATAGCTCAGTGGCAACGTCTGTGACTGTGAAGCTAGGTGGCACGGGATCAAATCCATCAGGGAGCACCGGTACTGAAAATACGACTCTTTCATAAATGGAACATAAGTCTTTCAAATCAAATAACAATAAACACAAACCCAATTGGGATAATATAGACAGGCTTTTCGTGATTCCTTCACTTGTCTATAATTTGTTGAACTTATGTGGATAATTGACTTTCCTGCTTAACAGAACCCGCCATCTAACCTTGACCTCAGCAATCATTTCCAGTTCCACAACCTTCCGCTTTTCTGTTTCCTCTTCAGGATTCCTTGTTAGGCCTCGCTTCGCTATGAAGTTTGGTGATTTCCGTAATGTATGTCCTATCCACTTCCAACGTCGTTTTCTAATTTCCTCTTCAGTTGCTGCACATGGGCTTCAGTGACCTGTGGAAACAGATGACGTATGTACGTGTTGTTGGTCACCGACCACCATGGAACTGAATCTGTTTATGTTGCTTCACTGTTTTATGGATAAGACCTTTAGATTCAAGACTCCAAGTGTGGCCTTCAAAGCAGATCACCTGTTTCGGTTTAATCACCGGAACAGTATCCCAGCCCATACAAACAAATCAAATGACTTGCTCAGTGCATATCTATCTGGTGCCTCCTTGCATCAATGTTTCTAATATTCAACACAACTTTAACATCCTGGCAACAAAGGTTGTTTAAACAAACAAACAAACAAACACCCTTCTTCATTATTCCATATTATAACAACATGATAGGTTTTATCAATCTCTTTATTACTATATATATTGAATAATTTGTAAAATGTAAAATTGAGCTATTCCCTTGCTTGGTTTCCCGTAGTTGAATTACACATTTGATATTCATATTTAGACAAGTGTCATAACCAGAGTAACAGTTGATGAATATAGTCACTAGTTGTTAATAACAACATATAAGGATTTGTTTATGTTAATCTATAAACATTGGTTCATAGGGGGCACCAAATACACATGTGCTGTACAACAATAAAGAGGTTAGTAGTAGTAGTAGTAGTAGTTATCACCGATTTGTATGACGACATCTTCCTTGATTCTAAACCAATGATGTATATGGTCTTCATGATTCTGAAGAAACTATTAGTTTATGAACCGGTTGTTGGTTACTGGCTATTGTAGAAATGTATCCCTCCACGTTGTCAGCCCGCCTTCTCTAAATACTCTCACATGGCCACGTGCATACTGTAGTGAACGGGAAATGAGTGAGGGAAAATCGAACGGATCATACAGTAAATTGTTCATTTAAAAAATATCCATCCAATGTCTTAAACTTGACTTTCTTTTGTGAATGTCAATCCATCGTCTCAAATTTCATTAATTCCGTATTTTCTTGCCAAGTACTTTCCATTCTCGTTCTTTCCTTCTCAAACTTCTACTGAAATACATTGTATTCCTGACTATCGTTATATACTACTTATGTGCATATAAGTAAAGCACACCACGGTACAAC